TGTGTGTGTGTGTGTGTGTGTGTGTGTGTGTGTGTGTGTGTGTGTGTGTGTAGAAGTGTCTTTCTCTTGATGTTTCTTTCGTAAGAGTGATAAAGCTATTTGCAACAAAGAGTGACCAGTAGAAATAGGAAAATAATAAAACTACAAAGGATACTGAAAAAGAAGAAACGTGAAATAGTGTAAATTTGCCAAATCACGAAGCCCATCCTTTTCACATTAACAAACACCTTTGATAATTTACCGTTTATTTTCTTAAAAACAAAAACAAAAACAAAAAGAAAAAGAAAAAACAAACAACAAAAAAACCCGCCGACGTGCATTCGGGTGTATAAATGCTGCCATCTGTTGACCAAGCAGAGAATTACATGCATCTTTGCTAGAGCCTGTTGGCATTGTCAGGGTACGATTTCCAAGTGGCTACCGACTTCAACACTGGACATCCATTTGGAAACTGCAGTAGCACAAGTTGAGACTGTATAGGTGGAGGCAAATGAAGAGTCCTCGGGTGATGGAATGGCAGGTTCCCTTCTCCAGTGACTAGCGGCTCTGAGGAAGGGGATAAATCTTGTGAGATAAATCTTTCCTCTTCAGGGCTAAACTGCACATTGAGATGCAGTCTCAGACTTCATAGGCTCCCGAGGGCAAGGGTCCACCCACCCTTTCCTTTTCTTAGGACAAAATTCTTACTAGCATCTTTTCACAAGATTTGTAGAACTGTCTGTTGTGCAAGTGTGTATCCGAGCAGCAAGCAGGCCTGCTTCTCAGGTGCCCTCTGTTTGTTTGTTAGGGTGTTTGTTTTATTTTATCAAGAAGTCACTCTCAAATCCCCCTTTTTAGTGACTGAATTGAATATGAATTTCAATTTGTTCCGTTTTGATCTCCTCTCCATTTTCCCTCACTTTCTGGTTTGAAGTCAAAACCTGGGATCTCCTCACAGATGTGCCTTGTAGTTTGATTAACCCAGACTTTTCACTTTGTAAGCTATCTAATTAGGCATATATCCAAAAGATTCTCAAGGACAATTGCTCAACCATGCTCATAGAAGCTTTATTTGTAATATCCAGAATCTGGAAACAACCCAGATGCCTCTCAGTTGAGGAATGGCTACAGAAATTGTGGTACAATTACACAATGGAATACTAGTCAACAATTATAAACAAGGAAATCATGAAATTTGCAGGCAAATTGTGAGATCTAGAGAAGATCATCCTGAGTGAAGTATCCCAGAAAAATTATTTACATGGTAAATATTCACTTATAAGTGGATATTAGACATATAGTATAGGATAATCATACTAAAATCTACACAGCTAAGGAAGCTAATGGAAAAGGAGGGCCCTGGGCAAGATGCTCAATCTTCATTCAGAAAGGCAAATGGGACGGACATCGGAGGAGCGAGAAAACAGGGAATAGGACAGGAGCCTACCATAGAGGGCCTCTGAATGGCTCTACCCTGCAGGGTATCAAAATATATGTGTATTCTACACACATGCATGCCTCCACACCAGAAGACAGCACCAGATCTCATTATAGATGGTTGTGAGTCACCATGTGGGTGCTGGGAATAGAAATCAGGACCTTTGGAAGAGCAGCCATGACATCGGAAGAGAGAGAAGACAGGGAATAGGACAGGAGCCTATCACAGAGGGCCACTGAAAGATCCTACCCAGCAGGATATCAAAACATATGCTGAGAATCATAGCCAAACTTTGGGCAGAGTGTAGGGAATCTTATTAAAGAAGAGATAGAAAGACCTGGAGGGGACAGGAGCTCCACAAGGAGAGGAACAGAACCAAAAAATCTGGGCACAGGGGTCTTTTCTGAGACTGATACTCCAAAGAAGGATCATTCGTGGATATTACCTAGAACCCCTGCTCAGATATAGCCCATGGCAGCTCAGTGTCTAAGAGGGTTCCCCAGTAATGGGAACAGGGACTGTCTCTGACATGAACTCAGTGGCTGGCTCTTTGATCACCTTTCTCTGAACAGGGAGCAGCCTTAGCAGGCCACAGAGGAAGACAATGAAGCCAGTCCTGATGAGACCTGATAGACTATGGTCAGATGGAAAGGGATGAGGATCTCCCTATCAGTGGACAGGGGGAGGGCAAGAAGAGAAGAAGAGGGAGGGAGGAAGGGTGGGGTTGGGAGGGGATGGAGGAGGGGGCTAAGCTGGGATGCAAAGTGAATAAACTGCAATTAATAAAAATAAATAAAAATTTACAAAAGGTAAACGTAGACACCCACCCACACTTCCTTTCTCTGATTGTGACAGTGTTTGGAATAGGGGTATATGATGGAAGACAGACAGCCCTCTTCTCACGTACAAGCCTAAAGCTAGGTAAAAAGCCACCGCTGGCGATCTGAGGAACCCTGCGTTATCACTACCTCCCACATTGCACTTGTAGCACCAACACCAAATGATGGCTTTCTAATACTGACAAACAAAAAAGATTAAATAAAAAATGCTGCACAGAAAAGTCATCAGCAAAGCTACCTGACCTTTCCCTTAGATTCCCGGCATGAGCGAAACTAGGAATCGACGAGCATTGTCTAGAACAGAGTATTCATTCTGGCCCTATCCCAGTTACAAAGCTACAACTTATGTTAGTTATCGAGTTACTGAAGACTATTTTTGTCAATTCTACTTTTGAAGTACTGACATTTTATCTAATAAAAAGTTTAGATCTGCTGAGTTGAGTTGGCATACACAGCACAACCTTTGGCCCTTAATCTTTTCTGTTGCTGTGAGTTTGGCTATGAGACCCAGGCCCTTGCTCAAACTAAGTAATCATTCTGCTAATGAGCCAAACCCTCTGACCTTCAGCACCTAGTTTGCAATTTTGTTTTCAAGTAAAGTTTTATGTTTTACTTTCTCTTTGGAAGAATGCATGCCCCTAACTAGTGGAAAGTTTTTCTCCCTCCTCCCCCTTCCTCCTCCCTCCCCTTATCCTCTTCTTCCTCTTCCCTTGGTTTTCCCTTTCCTTTTGCATTCAGAACAAGTATATTTTTTTATTTTACCTAAAATTGATGTTTGTTTTGTTCCTCATGACTTTGAAAAATAAACTCTCAGCTAAACATGTGTTTAAGAGACTAAATAATTTAATAGTGTATTGATTTGGGTCTGAAATAAGATAAATTGAAATTGTTAGGACCAAGTTCTACCATAGCTAGCAAGTACAGGTGATGTTTTTGTTATGGTTGTCTTATTTTTCATGTTACAAGAAGACAATTTTTAAAAATAATTTATTTAACTTTTATTTTATGTGCACTAGTGTGAAGGTGTCCGATCCCTTCGAATGGGCATTACTGACAGTTGTGAGCTGCCATGTGGGTGCTGGGAAATGAACCCTGGTCCTTTGGAAGAACAGGCAGTGCTCTTAACTACTGAGCCATCTCTCCAGCCCCCACAAAAAGACAATTTTAAATTAAGGTGTCTAATTCACTCTTTTTTTAAAAGCTGAATTTCATGTTGATTACAGAGGTTCTTTTAGTGGCATGTTTAATATTGATGTTAGTTGCTATTCTTGAAATGACAGGCTAATAGCTTTTCTTTTATTGTTTGAGAATATGCATGTAATTCTTTTTGGTTAGTTCCACTCCCCACTTCCTCAATCCCAAATTTTCCCATATTCCACTTACCACTTTTTCTTCCTAAACTCTTTTTTAAACCCACCAATCCGATTAGTGTTGTCAGTATGTGCATAGGTGTAGAGTTGTCCATGAGAGCATGGGTAGACTATCAGGGACTACTTCCCAGAAGAGAACTGACTTCCCCTCATCCAGCAGCTATTGGTTGCCAAGAGTTCCTTAGCTGAAGTGGCAGGTACTTCAAGAGGCTCTTTCTCATCCATGTCGGGATTTGGCCTGGCTTGATCTTACACAGGTCTTGTTCATACACTCCTAGAGAGCTGCCAGAAAGTTCATGTGTGTGTTCAGTTTTATTTCTATAATACACAAATAAGAACAATTAGTTAATATGTCATATCTAATTAAAAAAATTCACATATGTGATGTGAAAACATATAATGTAGAGAATGGCCTCAGGATTCAAAAGCAGCCCTTTGGCCAGCACAAGCCTCAGGCATTTCACAGAGAAGGCAGCTCAGAAACAGGGTCTATGGAGATGGACGTTTAGCCTGTTTAGTTTGCTACCTGTTGTGCTTATTAGAAAAACAGATAGCAGGTAGAGGACAATCTGCAAATGCTTGATGAATTACTAAGAGATTTTCCCCAGCCATTTACTCTTTTCATGTTTTTTAGAAGAAAATTCCTATAGTATTTTCAACATTTTATTTTGAAAAGTGAAACTTAGAGTAAAATGATTAAAAACTGGCTTATTACAGGTGGAGTGTAGGAACACATGGGTTGAAACACATCAGGTTTGGAGGCTCTTTCTGTGGAGAAAGACCTGGAAATTTACATACACACACACACACACACACACACACACACACACGAAAAACAAAACAAAACAAAAACCCCTAGTTAACAAGATGGTGGAAGATTTGAACACGTTTTCTAAATAAGCATTCACAGCTAGATTCCATCCTTAGAAGGAAATGGCCTCAAAATTTAACAATAGCACTGTTGTAG